CTCCGGCACCCCCGTGGATAGCGTTCCCTCCGGTGGTGGTGGTTGTGTTACGGGTAATAGGTAATAATAGCTTGAGTGGGGTCTCTCCGGATGGCTTGAGACGAAGTTTCGGACAAAAACACGCCCGAACGACCCCAACGGCCCAACAACAAGCAGCATAGCCAATATCCACTAATAGCCAAGTAAATGCAAATAAAAACGAAACGAAGCAGAAAAGAGTGAGCATATTCCGTTGTCGCCTTATAAAATGTGGAAGGAGACTGGGAGGCGAGGTCGTTAAAAGGTAGAACGAGATCGGACGCAAGGTCGTTAAAAGATATAAAGAGATTGTTGTAGGGACGTTGCCGGATGGGAGTAGGAGTTGGTGCTTCCAAGTCCAGTGTGTGTTGTTACATTCGTAGTAGATGGTACTTGTGGCAGTGATGTATCCGTACACTAGACGGGGCCGAGGGGGGGCCGCCGCTACGGACTTCGTCGGCCAGATCGACTCTCATTCTCATCATGAATGTATAGAACTGGTACATTCTAAAGCATGGCGCAGTGCATATGAAAGGCGCACCAAAGAACCAAAAACTCACCAACAACCTTCGCAAGCGTTGTGGGGTTGTCGAGGTATCTGGCCATTTGTCTCCGGCCATCCCGCACAAAGGCAAATGGCGTCGATGCGCCCACTCTTGGCAATGGCGGATAGGTTTGTACAAAGGCCAGAAGAGAGTTACTATATTGGCGATACAAACGAAATGGGTTAATGTTGTACGTCTTTGTTGGCGATCGGAGGTCACTGGGAGTGGTAGTTGTCTTCCGAAGAAGTGGTCCCATATTTCGTCCGCGCTGGCCGAAAACTAGACGAGTCATTATCACCCAAATCCTTTGGGCTTCTGCTCGGTTAAAAGATAGAGCATTCTGTCTTGGTTGACATCCCAAGTGTCATCCGGTGAGGGAATCATGTCGACATCGCCGTCTTATGGAAATACTTGAGCCGGACTGCCACCGCCTACGCGGAGGCCTCGGCTCGGCGTCCTTGCAAAATGAAAGAAGAAGATAAGCCACCAGCGAGGATTGACGGGATCCGTCAGCTTATAGGCAATGGGGAAAACGGGACCGGTCGGGTTCCCGGATTCGGCGTTGCGGCGGCGCTCGTCGAGAACCGACGTAAGAAGAGATCACATCATGAAAGTTCATGTTCGGGTTCCCTTGGTCCTGGTCCCGTCGCGTCCGCGTAGGACGGCGGCTCGAAGAAGCTTGGGGGAAAAAAGAGCGAAAGGAGAGAAAATCGAAAAGGAAAGAACAACGCTGGGTGCCTTAGAGGCTTCGCTGGGGGCTTCCCGCGGTCACTTCATTTGCGCCGCGTTTGCCGCCTCGACGCAGAACGCAAAGGCTGGCCATGCTCTGTGCAACTGTTAGTAATAGGTTTCCTAACCTGGGGATAACATTGACCTACGGTTCCTTCACCCACGGCTCCCACTAGTGACTAGAGCTGAGGGGGCAGCGGGTAGGGCAGCGGGTAGGTCAGCGGGTGGTTCATCACGAAGAGGAACATCGAGGAACTCCGGTCCCGTCTCCAAATCCCACTCTTAGCCATACTACTGCTGCGCCTACTACTGGTATTGCTGCTACGCCTACTGCTGGTGTTGCTGCTGCGGCTGCTGTTGTTGTTGCTGCTGCTACTTGTTGGGCCGGACATTCACATGTGCCCGAGGCCAGCGGCTGTTTCCGGTTAGCTTATTCCAACACAGGTCGGCTCGTTTGGCTTTCGTATTCCGGTGGCAGGATCGGGAGTTGTGCTAACAGCATCTTGTCAGATAATGCATCGAGTTTGTCGGAACAGGAAATGACAGTGGTCCCGCCGAGCTCCAAGTTTGAGAACGTCTTCTAGCTGGAGAGGTAGCCCCAATTGTTATTGTCCCGCTGGAACGCGGCGAGTCTTCAACTTGGTCGCCCTCAGTAGCTGCACTATCGTCCTGATCTCGATGATGTCCTTGATGAGGCTTGCTCGGTCTGTCGATGGTCTCGGTACACAGGGGGTACAAATTGTCGAAGTAACCCGGACCATTTCCGGTTGGCTTAGTCGACGCCTGGGTTCGGATGTCGGAGGCATCGGACACGAGCGATTCGTGGAACTTGACTATCGATGCCGCGATGGCTCGGATCGCGATATCGATGTGGACAATCGCTGCGATCGGCCCGAGTTGTAGACTCGGGGCATGGTGTTGGGTTTGCAGCCCCGGGGATTGCGGCGGCTGTGTCAGGGGTAACAGCGGGACCTCTTCGGATGGCTTGGGAAGTTTGGGCCATCCGTTACAGCAACAGCAATTCGCCGACCTCCGAACCGGTTTTCTCTCACGGCAGATTCTGGACCTGGACAAACGAGACGACGACCACGCCACCATACCTCTATCCGATAGAAGCGCTATCGACCCTCGCCTCCTCCAGCTCGCAGCAGCCCGCAGCGATGAGGACCTGCTCACTGGGTGATGCAAAAAACAAACAAAGCAGGCAAATCATCGCTGTTCCACTGATACTAAACGAATCCTCTGCCCTCAACATGATCACCAAATCATTGAATCATCGCTGTAAAAACCATGCCAGGACTTTGGCGCAATCGGTGAGTGCTTCCAATGTCCTTCTCGCCTCCGGACGCGCTCTGCCCACGTAAAGGAAGCAACTGTTAGTAGAACTTCCCTAACTGAGGAATAAAATTAACCACCGCAAAACCGTTTGCCGGGCGCGGTGGGATCTGCCTCAGTATTTCCGCGAACAGAGAGCTTTGCCAACTCAGTTCTCGCCTTCGGCGTCCATCCTCCGCCCATGCCTGGTCCTCCCACGGAGATGAGCGCATCTGCTCTCTCCAAGAATCCGCCCTACTCAGGGTGACTAAATGACTCCCACTAAGAAAGTGGCGCTGGTTGGGCGATCACGATATGGTCATTTCCCATATCGACTCGAGCGTCACTGGGTGTATTAGGAGGCCTCAGCATCCGCTTCACCACCGTCGGAGGCAAAGACGATGAGGCGGATAGCCAACATCGCGAGCCAAGAAGAAGAAGTGGTAGATTCGCGGGCGATTGCCTTTCTCTCCTTGCCGATATCGACAGCCTTGCGGATCATCTCGTCGAGACTGATGTCGCCGTTCTTCGCGGAATGAATCCTCCCCACTTGGTGACTTGGGACGACTGGTCATGCTCAAACCGAACAACCTCCCTTGGAACGGGAGCCAAGCAACTGACAATGGTCGGTCTCATCTGACAGGCCGTGAATATCATGCGCCAAGCTGAATCCAACCAAAACTTCGCACAGATCTTCGAGGAGGTGATCACATGCTGTTGTTGAGCTGGGAGTTGTCGTTTGGCAGGACGATACGAGTGTACTCGTACTCGTGTAAGTGGCTGTCGGCGCCATTGTAACGGGGCTAGTAGTGAGTTGTCGGGAGAGTGGAGCGAAAGGGCATTTGTTTTTTTTTCGAGCGCTCCTTCGCCGCCGGACGATCTCAGATCAAAAACTCTCTTGAGGCTGAGGGTGAAGGCGTGCAGAAAAATCTTGGGCTGTTGCATTCGATTCCGTCAGAGATGTCGGGGTTGCTGTGGATCTTGAATGCATTGTCCCCAATGGTGATGTATCCCCTGCCATCCTCTTGGAAAAGTGGCCGTTGTTTAGGTTTAGGTTTCCGCACGAACCTTGAGGCTTTGGCTACATGTATGTTGGGATGAAGATGTCCACGGCGAAGCCGGGCGGCCTCGGGTCGTGAGAGAAGCATCTGTGACGGGAAACATCCCAAGAGAAGGTTCGAGGGGATCCAGTAGATCAGAATCTGTCGGCGATGCTTGGTGGACATCATGATGTTGGTGGATATGTTGGGGCCGATGAGTATTGCGCGTGGCATTGTCGGTGGGCCTCTTCGAAATCCCGTGAGAGACGGAGGAATGGCCTCTGATTGTTAAACCTCTCGGTTCCTTCGAATGACCGGAAATGATCTGCCTCCTTAGCGTAATGGTAACCGGAGGTCCATGGGGCCCGCCACCCATCCCACGGCCCCGCCCCGTGGGCCGAGACGGTAGTAACGAGGGCGTAGGTTGCGGTCTTTTTCAGGATAATGACGGGATGTCCACAAGCACCCTTCATATAATGAGTTGGGTTGAGACGTTTAAGCATAGCTTTTACGCCCTTGCTAAATTGGAACCATTCGAGGAGAAAGGCGACATCGCCAGTGGCAATTGTGACATCTTGAAAAAGAAGATGGGTATAGAGACGAGTAGTTGTTGTAGCAGAGAGTAATGGAAGCCGGCGATCAGCGTTCGGAACAATTCAAATAACAAATAACAAGTAACAATCTGAGGCAATCTGGTGAGGCAATCGAGCAGTTAACGTAAGCAAGCTGGCCGGCCCAGCTTTGTTTGATTGTTTGGCTCAGATTGTGTACCATGGTACTTAACATTTGAAGGGGTAGATTTTGGCTGGGATTTCGGGTCTTTGCCATGTCAGTGGCCTTGTATCGTATCCGTTCAAACGCTGAGTGAAAAGTCTGTTCCCGACGGCCCGCTGACAGGGTTCTGGGGGGCGCTAGGGGGCACTGGGAACGGGCAGCGAGGTTCGTGATAGCTTCATTTTTGGTTCCTCTGTTTGTCCGGTGTATCTTTCTGAACACGTGCCCGAGATTGCAATCGAAATGAGGCAAGGCAAATCGACTATGAAATGAGGCAAATCTGGCGATTTCAAACAATCTGAGGCAAATCGACCAAGAATTTTGGTTTATTTGAATTGTTTCGAACGCTGCCGGCGATTCCTCCTGCGCGACACGATAGGCAGCAATCTGTCGAACGCGCTCATCGTTCTCCTTGGAGTTCCTGTTTTGCCACGACACACCGACTGGTTAGAAGCTATTCACAAACGTGAAGCATCCCAAACGAGACAACGAGACTAAGCGGAAGAAACAAACCTTAAGATGATCCGCCATCTGCTCAATCTCGATCTTGTTCAACCTCAACCGATCCGGAAGCCCACTATTAGGTATGCATGAGCGCCAACAGCCCAGCAACCGTAGTGTTGACAGCCGCCTGGGTCTCTCTCTCCGAAAGCGTGGAGACATCGGAATCCACATCGGATCCGCGCCTTGCGACGCGCGCTTTCAGCTCCTTCTTGACAACAGGAAATGGGCTGTTGAAAAAGGAGTGATCCATGCTCGGACCCCAATGTTTTTTTTTTTTTTTTGTGTTTGTTTGTTTGACATGTAGGAGCATTAAAGCTCCGTTGGTTGTTGTGAACCGTTCATCATTGTTCAAAAAACTCTCTGCAATCCTTTCTTCAGTCCTCTCGTGACGTTGAAGAGGATCTCCTTCAAATAGGTCTTCACCTTTGAAGTAACGTACTAGAGAATACCGGTAGGACTCGGAGTTGATGAAGCCATTTTAGTGAAGATGCGCGTCGGGTGTTATGTTTTCCTTCAGGATAAATAACGGGGTGGCTACAGGCCTTCGGCATATTTGAGCCAGAGCCTGAGCCGGTTGATGTCTTTGCTGAGTGGCCATTGCTTCTCGGAGTCTTTGATCTTCGAAAATCTGGGGAAAATTTTCTTCGCGAAATAAGTTGTTGGTATCGTGAATGCATGTTCTTTTGCTGGGAGCTGGTTAAGAATTGTTTGGAACCACATCTCTGCTCGGGGATCGATGGAACCTCGGGGAACCAATCGATGATTTTGTGGAACAGCGATGCGGCGAGTCTGGCCAGTACACCGAACGGCGTGATTGTCGAAAGTGAGGAGTGCCTGTGACGGCGGCGACAATGATGATGATAGTACCGAAGATGTGCTGGTCCAGACACATGACTGCGGCCTTCCAAGCCGGCCACAAGGTGGCGTCGACCAGCTCGAGGAAGTTGGCAGCCGATGTGTAGAGGAGCCACAGAACCCTCATGAGGAAGGTTGGCGTCTATGATTTGGGTTCAGACCTGCGAGTATGCGCTTTCCATCGTCGTTATACCACCGCCATTCTCGCAAACAGGCGATGTCGCCAACCGTGAAGTGAGGCATCTTGACAGAATAAATTCGTGTAGAGAAGGTGATGTTTGAAGCTGGTGAGTAATGAAATTGGCGACGAAGTGTGAAGCAAAGAAAGAGAAGGTGGACCTAAACCACTGCCTTAGAAGGCGACATCGCCCACGGTGTATCGAGACATCGTAATGAAATTGATGGGTGTGGTCGGTGCGACTCCGTAAAGATTCGCACCTCGACTCTGGGAGCGCGGTGCGTTCGCCTGCAGATGGATCAAGTCGGCGATGAGGATGGATTGGGCGATCGTTTCTTCGCGAACTCCTCTTGTTTCTCTCAACGTCATCCCTTCTCTCGTTGACAAATTCGAGTAAACCGACTAACACCGAGCCCGCTACCAGCCCGATGCCTACCCATGCTCCTGTTGGCAGGCTTCTGTGCGGCATCCATCTCAGCTTGACCGCTGGAGTACATCTTCTGGAAAGACCACGAGCGGACGTCAAATACTGGGCAAAGTTTGGAGCGCCTTGATCTTGATCGCGACCTGTCTCTTTGAACTGAGTTGAGTGGCTCGAAATGAATCCGAACGCACCCTCCTCGGGGAACATACTATCAGCATCCGTGTGAGCTCAGACACCCTCTGGACGATCAAATCGTGCATGGCGGTGCTTCGCTGTGATGGGATGTCGTGGGGTGTGCTTCTTGTGAGCTGGTAGTAGACGTAGCAGAGTTCTCGGATCGCTGCTCGGATCCCTAGACTTCCGAGGCCTTCCACCAGCTTTCTCCAACTCGGCACGCCTGTTCGCCTCAGAGGCAAAGAATGGAACGCTTGGACGCGAGTATGGAGGGTGCGAGTATCAAGGGCAGTGGTTGATGGGGTAGCAATGTTCTGTCGCCGCATCTAACGGTGATATCCGAGAACAGGCCGCTCTCGAGAAGTCTGCAAAAAAGGTATTAGTCGGCGAGCATACAAGGTGGTTGCGAAATGGATGCGGTCGCGGGCTGTCATTGACGGCCATGTCTTGATGAGGCCTGGCGGGCGACCGCGACAGACGCGATCAAGGATGGAACTTACTTTTCGTCGGAGGACAGAAACCGCTTGTCCAGCGGTGGACGATTGCGCCTGACTAATAGCCGGCCACAAGGTGGCGTCGAGAAGCTCAAGGCAGTGCGCAGCCGATGTGTACGAGAGTAGCAAGAGGACCCTCATGAGGAAGGTGCAGAGTGGCGACAACTCCTTCTTGCTTGTGTTGTTGTGCATTTTGATGCAGTACTGGAAAGTCTGAAGAGCGGAAATTGGAATAAATAGTCGACGACTCAATGTTGTTTTGATGAGAAAGAATCTAGTGAAGAGTACCTGTAGTGTGCCGTCAAAGTTTGGCGGTTGACTCTGGGCTGTCGATTCGCCCGTGTTTTGAAGTTGAGCTTCTGTTTTTCGTTGCCACGGTCGAATCGACCTGCCCTAAAGCTGTTGGCCCCATTATGTACTGGAGGGCCGGCATTATGAAAGCTTGAACTCCTCCTGACGAGTAGGCTGGAAGATCGCAGTGTTACTTGTCGGGGCTGGAATCGCCGCTGGAGGAGAAGGGCGTTGCTTAGTCGTGATCGATGTCTGCTTGTTCCCCCCGAGTCCAAGTTCATCATCAAGTTGTCGAACTGGCCTGGGCCCCATCGTTGCCCGTATCGTAGAGAGTCTTTGCCAGTGATTTGAAAAGCTAGATTTGGGCGACTCATCAGAGGGAACACTCATGCATAACAATGCAGACAGCCAGTCTGTGGCATATGACGACAGAGGAACTGGCATAGACATTGCCGAGCATCCAGTCAAGAGTCATTAAGAATGCCCAGAGTACCCTCATGAGGAAGAAGCCAAAACGAGACAACTCGTTCGTGCATTTTGAGTGAAGTTCTTGCAGATTGAGCGGTGATGAAAAAAGACTTCAGGTTGTGTTGCGTGATTTGAAAGCTTTGGTGCGATCGTTGAAGATGATTATGCGGCGGCGAAGTGAGACCAAAGAAGAATTGCACAAAGAATGGTTAAATCTTCGCTTGTCTTTGATGTTGTTGCCGTCAGATCAAAACTTGGTATCCTTTCTTTCTGAGGGATCCTGGTACTTTCCTCTGAAGCCCGGTCACTTCATCGAGACGGCGTTGGCCGCCTCGACACAGAATGTGAAGGCCGGCCGCGCCCTATACGAGAAGGATGCAACTGTTAGTGATAGGTTTCCTAACCTGGGGATAACATTGACCTACTCTTGTTTGATCCAAGGCTCCCACTAGTGCTTGGGTGGAGCAGCGGGCGCTTCTTGTTCCTCAAGCCCAAGTTCGGGATCCCGACCCGAGATTCGTCCCAGCGTCTCGGTTTGTGAGCCATCTGGGCAGAATTGGTCAGCTTTCCGATCCGAAACACGGCTCAACGAACATGAAGATAGAGTGAAGTTGACTTACTTTTGCAAGCAGTCGTCAAGGCTACGACAGTCTTTGCTTCCAGTTGATGCCGTCGAGGCGTTATAAGCTGTGATCTCCCTAAGGCCTGTTTGATACCCGCGTGCGTAGCCAACAGGACCTTCTGGGCCGGGGTAGGTAATCCCAGTCGGTTCAGTCTGCACGGGAGTCGCTTCTCCTCGAGCGATGTCCACGAGACTCAGCAATATTGAGGTTGATGCTATTGCGATGCCTACCCACGCTCCTGTTGGTATTCTGATGCGGAGTGAGCGGCAAGGCCTCGTCCAGCTCCCCCATGCAATCCGCTGTTAGGGTGCAGTGGGAGCGATCACATTGTCGTTTAGCCAGGTTCCAGCTCATGTCAGTTCGCCTCGGAAGAGACTCAGAGCCGGCAGATGTGTCCTGCTGCATGCAGACGGTTTGTTAGCACTGGTTCGGCATCTTTGGGATGGAGGAGGTTGAACTTACAGGTCAAGCTCATGATCGAGACTGATGACTTTGAGCGGAGAGAACATTGAAGCTGCATTAGCTGAGGGTGTCCCAGTTCCTGACATTGCTGTAGTCCTTGTTCGGAAGACTCCGGTTGGGGTCTCGGTGAAGTGGTGCAACTACTCGAGTGGATGCAAAGGCGTGGAAAAGAGGGCAATGCAATGAAGCAACGCGTGAAGCTGGCTCGATGTTGGGTGAAGTCAAGCCAAGCCAAAAAGGGAGCTGAAAGCAAAGCTGGAGAGAGAAGCTGGAGAGAGAAGTTGAAGAGAGAAGTTGAAGAGAGAAGTTGAAGAGAGAAGTTGAAGATGGGCAAAAGACATTGCTGAAGATTGCTTTGCCAGATGTTGAAGAGGAACAGTGGGGAAAAGAAGCTGAGAAGTGTGCTGCTGATGATGGGGAGAGAAAAAAAGCAGAGGGAAAACAGGTCGGGGGAGCGGATGTTTTATACCCTTCTGGACGCTCCCAGGATCCCTCGTCACATGCTCCGAATTCCTCGAAGGTTTTCTGCATCTTCTCTGCGCTTCATGCGTCTCTTTCCTGCATATGCAGGAGTAGCTTCTGCTTGTGGGAATCGATGCGTTGTCTCATGCAGTTGCGGAGGTAAAGCGAGCAGTCATGAACACCGAAACATGGGATATTGCGATGGTTGAAGAAGGGACGTGGTAGGGGTCTGCTTGTGATTGAGTTCGGAGAAGCAGGAGGGGCCTTGGTAGATGGAAGGGGGTAGGTCGAGAGGCTCTGGAGGGTAATCTTCGACAGCTGTTGAAGAGAAGTCGTCGATGGCTGAGCGTGGAAGATGATCCAAGGACGGAGGAGGGATAATGGCCTCACTCGGCTCTCATGGAGGAGGAGAGCTCTTCACCTAGTAAAGAACCCTCCGTTCATTGAAAGCAGTCAGGGGGAACCTGGAAGTCATCGACGGTCGAAGATCAGGAATCGGTAAGTAAAGAGGCGGCAGAGCTGCCCGTCTCCAGTCTCCCAAAGCAAGAAAAGCCCACCTTCGAGGAAAGTCGTGGCTCGACATCTGCTCAAGAAAGTCATTGATGGTCAAAGATAGAGCACATACAATAAGGAGCACGGTAGAACCACCCGAGTCGTTCCCATGTTGCAGCCCCAAGAAGCAGAAGGAACCACATCTATCAAGAAACCCCCCTCGGCAGAGAGCGGTAAAAGAGAAGTCGTGATTCCTTTTCGATGATGGCCGATACCCGATGATAGAAGTTGAGCAAGAAGGCGGACTGCAATGCGACTGCACAAGAATATCACAACTCGGAAATGTGCCTGCATCAAAGGGGCTTGTTTAACGAAGGATCAGGAAGGATGGGCAGGGTAGGCTTGTGATGTCAGCTGCTAATGTTTCGAGGTTTTCACTTGCAAAAAAGGGGGTTTGTTTACTTCCCATTTCCTCGACGTCCACAAATCGGCAGTCTCGATTTTGAAGGGTACCTAAATGGAAGGGCGGTCAACATTCACCGAGCAAGACGGAAGCTACCTAGCTCTAGTCTCTAGTGTACTTGCACTGGTTCTACTGATCGTCTCTTCTTTCCTCTTCTGCATGTGAAGATGTTGTAATCGTGCTGAACGCCAGCTACGTCTCGCGGGTCGTGACCCGGATTTCGATGAGCAACGATCGACAGACCCTCAGCGGTTCAGCTTGCCTGCAATTTCACCTGCAATGAATTAGCAACGAAGGCCCAAGAGCAATGGAAGTCCGATTACTCGTTGGGAAACCCTTGATCATGCTTTGCTGAGGAACACTTACAACAACAACTATCTTTGGCAACCACCCGCCGTCCGTCATTCAACGCCGGAGAAACGGTTACAGATAGAAAACACCACTCCAAACACTCCATGCGATGGAGATGCGCACCAAAAGAAGCATTGGTATTTGTAGTTAGTAACGTATCAGATTGTAGAGCTAGAAAAAGGTATCAATAACTGCTGAGCAACATTCCATTTGTATGGCACCCACCAATTTTCCTTAAGTTCCTTCCTTCCTTCTCATCTGTCTCCTGTATCTCTCCCGTCTCCCGCTCCGATTTTCGCTTTACCGTCGAGTCACCACGACCAGGCACAAATCAAGCTGTGAGGTCTGTACCGAGGGTACCCAAAAAAAGTTTCAAAAAATGCTCGCTTCCACCATCCTAATCCCGCTACATAGCTACAGCCTGAAGCAATCCATGTCTGTCTCTTAGCCAGCCTCTTGCATCCCGCGCTCCTCCATAGAACCAATCCGCTCCTCCTCCATCCCGTTTGAGCACGTAGGTATCCCGCAGCAAAAAAAACGTATGTGTAGCAATTGTTGTTTTGTTGGGTGAGCAGTAGTATCAGCACCGGTAGAAACGCTCCGTTGATGTATTTTTCCCATCCCCGTCCTCTCTGCCCTGACTCGACTCCTAGCCAAGCCAACCCCAACGACGGACGGGCAGCGTTGTATCCTCTCACTCACATCCACCCCCACCTCCTCGCTTCTCTCCCCAGCTTCCACGGCCATGGCCCCAGCGAGGTTACGGACCTCCCAAAACCCCAACACCCTCTCTCCCACCAAAACCAAACCCAAAACCACCACCTCCTCATCCGGATTAGTCCAATTTTCCCATAAGGAACCGAAGAAATCCCCCCGGACGATTCGGATGTCTCGGACGAGGATGAAGCAGAGCATGAAAAGAAGAACCAACGTTCATCTTCTAATTGACGAGCGCGCCACACACAAGACACTTGATAGGTTCCGTCCAAGTCTTCGCTCCCCCCTTAGCCACGACGTCAGAGCGAAGATCGGTAAACTCAAGGTAAGGCGTGCCGTTCATTTCGAGCGTGACAGAAAATAAGCCTTCCCATGGTCTTTCCTTGTTGGTCACCTTGGCCCCGGGAGGGGCTAGGGACTTTTTGCGGGGTCGGCCGGGTTTCCGCCCTTCTGTTTTTATCGTTGCCGTCGTCGTTGTCCCTGTGGTTGATGATCCTGGTGCTGATGTCGGGGCGGGGGTCGTTGACTTTGATGTCTTTGCGCTGGGCGTCCTTGTTCTCCTAGAACGAAGTGGTAGCCCTGAGGCGGTCGAGTTCTCGTCCTCGGCTTCGGCTTCGGGGATGTCTTCGGGCGCGGGTTTGGCGTCTTCGCTGCCGGCTTTGAGGGCGCGGTTGCCGTTGCTGCTACCGTTGGTTCGGGCGGCGTCCTTCTCGGCCTTAACGTCCAAGGACTCTCCTCGTTCTTGCGCGTCGCCGTTTGCTTCCGTCTTGGCCTTGCCTTCCTCATCGTCCTCCTCTTTCTTGTCCACCTTCTCCTCCTTTACTGGGATGTGAGGCTTGTCTGTGCCGAGTCGTTCGAATGTCGCCCTTAGGGCTTGGTCCTTGATGCATTCTTCGTGCAACCACTTCTTACATGATTCAGAAGAGCATCCGACTAGCAGTTTGTCAGGGTTCGCTGGGGTGTTGCAGCCGCATACGAGCTCGACGGTCTGCGACACATTTCTTATTAGCATCTTTGCATGGCACTCGCAGGGTAGATGTCATGGCGCATACCGAAAGTTCCTGAGATCGCACATCATAGGCCTGTCGCCAGTACAGACTATCCTGCGTCTCCTCATCGTTCTCCTCGAACCAGTGCTTAACGATCGCGGGCTCGGTAACGCTGACCACATTGATAATATCCACTGCCCCCAATGTTAGCACACATGATCTCTTCCTCACCCCCGAATATCGGTCGTGGCCCACTCACTGTGATTAGACGCTATCAGCTCGCCCATCCCGTGGTACGGTTGTCTCCCTTCGACAATCCTTTTCCTATCGCGCGTCTTGGCCGGTAGCTCGTCAGGCCAGTACATCCAGTAAACTCTGGCGAAGACGTGGTGCTCGTCCCTAGCGCGGATTTCGAGGATCCTGGCAACCCACTCGGTGTCCCGCCTTTGTATCGGGGCCGTCGCCTCGCTTTCGGTCCCCTTTCCCCCTTGTTTTGGCTCCTTCTTCTTTATGCTCAAGTCATTGGCGACATAGATGAAGTTCTCTGCAAAGTATTTAACATTATTCACTAGTAGATGTCGTAGTCAGCAGACCGGAAGCTGTCAAGATTCTGGAAGGGAGGGGGGATAGACGGCAAACTCACACACAAAGCTGTTGTACCTCGTCATGTCGGTCCAATCCTTAGCCGGCTCGACCTTGTAGTGTACATCCATGTTCGGGTACGTCTTGAACTTGCCCGACGGATGAAACGGAGACTGCTGGAAGTTGATCTTGTCCGCTGGGTCTGTGTCCTCGTCGTCGACCGACTCGGCCTTGCCTCCGACAGTGCGTCTGCGCTTCTTGTTCTTTTTCTTCTCTTCCACCACGGGGTCGACAATGTGAACCTGGAATGGGCATTCGGCTCGGGTGTTATCCTTGTCCTCCTTCCTTTCCTGCACTCGGTCCTGGCGGTCGGCATCGGACGCCCTTGGTCTCTTGCGCGAGGAGGCCATTGTTGGCGAGGTGTGAGTGTGTAGAGCAAAGGTCTAATGAGTTGGTAGCGCTGCGCTTTGGCTAGGGTCGCGATGTCGTGAACCGCCGGCAGTCGGTGGCGCGAAGGTTGGTAATGGCTTGCGACGATATCGCGAAGATGCGACAAAAGAGAAAACGTGTGGGGTCGCGTAGAGGGACGAGGGATGGAAGATGCGCCTCAAGGTTGCGCTATGCAGAGACGACAAGTCTGATGTTGTTGAGGTTTCGAATTGGGCGACGGCGACGACGGAGGAGGGCGGCCTGAACCTGAAAGGTTGAGGTGACGTGGTTGGCTTCGGCGGTCGTGCAAAGAGAACGCGGGCGCGAGGTTGCCGGGTCAAGGTTCGCAAGGTTCGATGCAAAAAAAGTGGGTGTGAACCTTGTTGAGAACCTGAAGTACTTTGTACTTGGAGAAGGCGTGTGTTGTGTGTTATGACTTGTCCGTTTGGCTCAGTCGGCGCGCGCGATGGACGACGGCAGTGGCAGTAGTTGTGGTGGTGGCTGGGAGAAGAAGGAATTGGGAAAGAATCCGCGACCGCGACTGTGTTGTGTCGACCGTGGTTGACCTTTTTGGATGACGAGGAGGAATGGGGAAAAGAGTCTGGAACTGGCTGCGACTGGACAAGCTCGACCGGGGGGTGGGAGAAAAAAAAACAGCTAAAAAAGCTGGGGGAGTCAACTTGAGTCAATTGACCCAAAAAGTCTTTGAATAAAGGGTACCCGACCAAGTCTCTCAAGAGCGCTAACATAAGAGAATGCAATGTCCAACAGCCGCAGCTACAGGACAATAGGTTGGACAGGCGTCAATGTACAATGCGAGGACTTGTATTGTCGCAAAAGTGCATCCCCTATCTCTTCCGGCTCGAAGACCGTGTCTGTTCTCATTAACAATGTCTATGAACATTCCAGGTTCATTCTCCGCTTCGGATTGGGAAAAAACCGTTGCACCCAGCCACGTGATTTACCTAGATCGATGACTATCTGCCGCCAAGGTGAACTCCAAAGAGGAGAACCTGGGCAGCTTCTGAGAATGCCATTGGTGGACGGCTACGATAAGCGGAAAGATGGTTCCAGCTTCCCCGCTTGAGAGTGCGATTGTGCCATTTTACCCACGACTGAGCTGTTGTTTCGTTTGTGTTTGCCGGTTTGGGTCGGTCTTTGCAGCTATTCCCAGAATCACGGTTGCTTGACAACTTTGTAAACAGGGAGAGAGACTGTGTCATCCCAAAATCAGCCCAAAGTCTCCCTGGCTATTCAAGTTACAGCGAATCTCATCAATGTCTCAATCCCGAATTCCTGTGTCTCGAGATTCTTCAGAGTTACTACATGTTATTCTCCTGTGACTCTGGGCATTCTTTTATGGTCGGGCAAGGGAAGAGTTTGCCAGGAGACTCACACAAATTCTCTCTTGATAAGTTTCGAGGCCCATTGGGATGAGGGGCTCGACCCTTATTGTTTTTCTGGTGACGAAGGTAGAAATCCGAAAGCAACAACTTTGAGACTCACATGTCATAACCCTTGAGGATCATGAAGAAGCATTCAAGCTCCCAAGTGTTTGCTCCAAAACTGACCCAAAAACATTCATAGATTCCGTTACCCAGGGCAAACTAAAAATACAGATAGAGACAACACCAGCTCAACTGTTCAAACCTTCAAGACCTCTCAACACTATCAACCATGGACACACGAACGCCAGCGCTATGCATATAGCAACCCAAAACTAACCATCAGATAAACCCGTCATACCCCATCATAATTCCCAACATAACCATCTCATCATCAAACACCATCATCACTCATCATCCTCATCATCATACCTCCCCAAAATCGCCCTACTAGCATCACTTCCTCTCCTCTCCTCCGCCAATCCATCCACCCCATTCCCATTTCCACTCAGCTCGTTCAGTCCGTTCAGCTTAAACCCCTCAATAACCTCCGCCAACGCCTCTCCCTCCGTTCGCCCCCTCTCCACATTGATAAACCAAATGAACAGCGCCGGCGTGCCCACAATGGCCGCCAAGAACCAGAACGCCGGCCTAATCTCCCCGCTCGCGTCGATAATTGCGCCCACAATCGCCGGTCCGAACACGCTCGACCCTTTGTCGGTGATAGCGTACAGAGCGTAAAAAGCGGCCTCGGATCCGGGCGGGATGAGTTCACCGTACAAAGAGCGGCAGTACCCAGACAGTCCACCTAGCACGAATCCGTAGATGGCGGCCAGGGGATACATCTCCCATGGCTGTTGTAAGCCGCCGACGCCCCAGGCTTGGACAAAGGGGAGGTAACCCATTAGTCCGTAGAGGGGAATCAGCTCGAAGAGGGCGATGCAAGCCAGGATGGTCTGGTGGGCTTTGAGACGGAATTTGCGCGAAATGAAGGACCACGAGAAGGCGCCGATGATGCCTGAGGCGGTGGAGATGACGTTGATCATTCCCAACGCCCAGGGTTCCATGTGCAGTTGGGTTTTGGCGAAGAGAATGGCGGTGGAGGAGGTGGTGGCGATGGCGTCCGAGAGGAGGAACCAGCCGGCTAGGAAGAGGACAATGTCCACCAGGCGCCGGGCGAGATGGATGGTGCGGAAGAGGGACTTCCAGGCATAGATGGTGTAGTGGAACAAGGCGCGGATGCCTCCGGTGTTGGACTTGGTTGGCAGAGGAGGTCCCGGACGAGGTCGTAGCCACATGGCGGCTGGGATAGTGAAGATGGCCCACCATGCGCCGATGACACAAAGGACGATGCGCTGCGACCAAGTTGTGTTCTTCAGTACGATCAGAATGGCGATGGCCACGCATTGCAGGAACAGGCCGGCGATGTAACCGATGCCAATACCCTTGGCTGAGATCTGCGTGGATAGTTCCAGTTCGCGGGAGGTCAATTCCTCGGTTGTCTGGACTCGGGAAAGAGGTTCGCCCTCATCGTATGTTCGGCTTCCGAGCAAGGCAGTCGTCGAGTTGCGCATGCTATCCTCACGGTACTCATCATCCTCATCATCGCCATCTTCGGTTGTCGCATAGCCTGGCGAGCCATAGTCCCCAATATCATCGATCTCGGGGTGATGCCTGACCAAAAGCGGCAAGAACGAGTTCAGCAGCACAAAGGATGCGCCGAACGCGGTATTCGAGATGATAGCCAGCAGGGCACCAATGAGATATGTGCTCTTGCTGATGAAAATGTAGGCCATCACACACGTACTCCCGATCCACGCGAACGCAAGTAAGAGCTTCTTTCGAAAGTTGCCATGATCCGCGGCGCAACTTATGCTGACGACCAACAAGGCCTGTAGCAGGACGCTGACGCTAAAGGTGTACATGGCGAAGCTCGCCGTGTTGATTTCCATGCCCAAGACGTAGACGATGCATTGTCCTTGGGCAGCTGTCGCGTGCTTATCGGAGCTGGAACCACAGGGTTTCGATCGGTCGGAGAGGAGGACGCCATTTTCGCGGGCTAGACTTTCGAGGAGAATTGGGATGAAGGAACCTGTTTTGGGTTGCGTGTAAGTCGGGTAGTTCGGACGGTTAGTTCAGACTATAACCACAACACAACGTACCGATACCTGTCAAACATGTCAGTCAGCTTCATGACAAAATAGAAAGATGGAATTGATGATGATTACTAACCGCAGATAACATAGACCTCAGCAGCAAAGGCGTAGGCATACCATCCCGCGAGTTCCTTCTGGCTGGTGGGGCGAGTGTCGTCACCGGGATATCGTGCGGGAGGCAGGCTGCTGTCTCTGTCAGTGTCGTCGTATGGGTAGTCGCTGTTGTCGCCGGGACTATTATCGAAGGTATCGTTGGCAGGATTCATCCTGCCGGACATGGGGGTGGTGATCCAGTCGAAAAACGAAACGGTATCGGATCGCTCGTCGTCGGCTTCAAAGCAAGATGAAGTATGAGAGTAGAAGGATCGCTTGGAGGTTCTGGAGGCCTTGGACGCGTAGGAAGCGTAGTATGAACGGGAGAAGAGTCGCGGAGCTGGTGGCGGTCGGAGAGATTCCTACAAGTCTGGTGCTCCATTGTATGCCGATGAGACGTGGTTCACGTTGTGCGGTGGTGTCATTGCGCTGTACGCCAGGCCCCGTTCAGTTGCAGGGCATTGACAGGCCTCGAGATAGGCGTCACCTTCAGTGGCTCGAGTGGACCAACGCGGGCCAAGCGTCACACTGAGCAATCAAGGTTCTCGCTTCGCCCGAGTCCGGCAGGCGGTGTGGATCGCCCCGCTATCGTACAGTCTCACAGGGCAGGTTCGACTGCAGGTACCGCTGCCTGCCAGCAACCTGATAGCACAGCAAGAACAACCCTCCGTCCGGGAACTTGGAAAGTGCACGACCCGACGGCAGGAACAATCTGTCTCTTCTGTGCTTCTCAATCTTCCAGGTTGAACCTCGTAATATCAGGTCCAGCCTCCCTAACGGATATGATGGAGGAGTCGGCGCGTTGGTAGCTGAATGAAAGCGGGGGCGGTTAAAGTCCGGGCGTCTCGGAGGACAAAGGAGATGGTAACGGATGGCGGTAGGTCGAGGCGGTAGAGGTAGTCGGGCGGGCTACGATAAGTCGAGTGTCTGTGGTATAAGTGGAATATCTTGTGGTCAAATTTCAACAGGTAAAAGAGCAGACGAAGGGATGATAAGAGAATCTCAAGTTGCCAAACGCTCAAGATGTCAAACGCTGTCTCGCTTCCTGCTTTGATCGAAGCGCTTCTGGCGTAAAGGGCGGCTCGAGTGACCGATCGCCCACTCACATTCTCCCCTCAAACAAGAAATCGCAAGAGACTAAAACACAGATTCAAGACATTTTAGATGGAAAAAAGAGTGGCACCGCCTGGTTTGTTTAGGGGTTTAAAGGTATCATCGGCAAGACTTTTCAAGTCCGCGTGAACAGCTTCGGCTCTCGGCAACCCGAAACTCAAGGTATAACTTCCCCTCTTGTAGCTTACACCTTGGGGGTAGTCAGTCGGTGATGCCCAAGAACATGTGCAGAAGTGTGATGAATCTGCAAACTGACGGCATCCCGAATCAAAAAAACCAGGGCCCAAGCCAGGCACCGAAGCGAGGCCGGCATCCCTACCTAGGGGTTTTGTTCGTCGTAAGGCTGCTGATCATTTCCTGGATTGGATAAGTAACGAGATGCAGACACTTTGAATTGTTTGTTTTCTGTCTGCATCTTGAATTCATTTGCGCACGAATGGCTGGCTTGCTGTCGATGCTATCGGTACCTACCGTCCTCGCCGTCTTTGCGGGCCGTGTGGTTGAGAGGTCCGGTCTCGGTATTGCGGCATTCGGTGTGAGAGGGCTCATAAAGGTACCAGATCTGGTTCGAAAAGTGTGACGGAGAACAAGACATGTTTTACTCACGGAACAAAGTGAAGATAGCACCATTTCTCTCTTGGCTGACGATATAATGACTGCAACTTGTATTTAAAGAGATCTCTGTTAATGCTCCCGTGATCTGGACTGTCACACTGAATCCTGCTTCAAATCCGGGTGTTAGTCGCCGCCAAGACATCTGATTATTAGGATATTAGTCGATAGCAGCTTGCTATAAATCCCCACGAACAGAATCATCCAAAAGTTGTCCCCAGAAAGGCCAAAAGAAAGGCCAAAATTGGGTATTTGGTGAACAAAAACTGGCCTTCCCCTCTCCTTCTCAGCTCCCCGATACACGTGGTATCCAAGGTCCTGTTCAGCTCAGCTGCTCAGCTCAGACCGGGCAGGCAGCTTTGAACCCGCCCGCACAGCGCCGAGACCGACCCCCAATGGCACACCTCTCGTCTCCATGGCGCCCGTCAACCCCCTCTCATCCCTCAATGATTCTCCCCAACATGCGTAACCTCGGTATCATGCCCCTTGGGCTTTCCAAAAAGCTTCCACTTCAATTTATCCGCCAGACTGTGCTGTCTCTGGTGGTGATGATGAGGATGATGCTCAGTAGTCTTGTTCTCCCCCGTAGCAGCAGCCGCGGCGGTAACCTCCTTCCTAGCCTTCTCACTGCCGCTACCAGCCGGAGAAACGTGACGCTCGTTCCCGGCGCCGCCCCGACCCGTGTGGTAATTTTCCGTGTCCTGGGAGTGGCGAATGGCGACGTCGGGGATCATGTCCTTGTCGACGCGGCGGTGGGGCTTGACGCCTGCGTCGCCTATGTTTGCTGCTCCTGTTTGGGGATCTTTGTTAGTTCTCAGCTGTGATGGTGGTGATGCTTGGGAAGAGGGAGGGAGATGGTGGTGAAAGTGCGCTAGGCTGGGCTGGGGGAGTTGGGGATAGGGGACGCTAGCCGCTAGCGGTCCTGGCCTTATCGCTGCCCGTTGCCCTGAAAGGATCTTGGCAAACGTGGGACAATGTTCGCTTCCTTCAACTTCTTCCCGAGGGCTTTTTGAGCTTCCCGAGGGCGCTGGGCTTGGCTGGCGATAAGGGAATTGTAGGTTGAGGTAAGCGGTTGGTGGGTGGTTGACATGACACCACCCGCTCTCTTTCATGTTCCTCTTTGTCTCCTGTTGTTGTCGCGAGGGGGTTTGGTGATGGTGGTGCTGAGAGAGGTAGTTTATGGAGGGAAGGGCAGAAGTGAATCGGATGCCTTACCTCCGCGACCGGTGCTGAACGCTCCATCGCCGTGGCTGCCCTCGGCGCCTGCTCTGACGACTTCTCCGTCAACGTACTTGGTGTCGTCGGGGTTGATGTTGCCGGCGCCGCCACGGCCGTGAGATACTTCGGGTCCTGCCATTGTAGTTGTTGGTCGCTAGTGGTCGGTGGTATGCTCTCGATGTTCGTAGATCTGAAAAGCGAAGGGTCCGTCGTCGATATGCTCAGTCCCAGAATGTTCGTCGAACTTGAGATGTAGTGTTTGACGAGAGGTGCGGAAAGGTGGGTGACTCGCAAGATACTTATCCGAGTACATTCACGGCTCACGCAGCCGCATGCGCGCAGCCAACCACATGCAAAATAGCTTCTCGAAAGGGGTCTTGGGCATGGTGATAACAAGGAACGATCAAAAAGCAGCTAGGATACTTATCTATCGTCAATCTTGGATCGCCCAAATCTGCACTATACACTACATCATCGAACCCAAAACGGTGTTCCCTAACCGATATCTCCCTTGACACATGATGGGGCGGCGCGCGGGATAAGGACGGGCAATGCTGGACGGGAATTGCCTGGATTCCCTGGATTGCCCGCCAAGAAGTCGAATCCGAAAAGTGGCAACCACTCAGCATCGTCCGTCGCAATGGCACACACGAAACACCATTACGTTTATCTCCAGACCCGAATCTTTCTGGTGATGGATTCCTGTGATCCATTCCGGATGCCCTCCTACACAACGTGCAGGCGGGAAGGACGGGATGCCGCTGTTCATGGTGGATGGAGTGCGCTGAAGAAAGAGATGCAAAAGTGCATGGAGGCTAGGCGCTATGTACTGTGAGAGCTGAATTGAGCGATGCAGGTGCACCCCACGTTGCTTGGAAGGAATCTTCTTCCAGATGTACTTCGGCGTCTCATCAGTGTTTTCCAGGTTGACATCATCCGGTATTGAGATGATATTGGTCCGCTCAGAGGCTATTTCCTAACATATGACAATTCACATCAGTGATAACGAATTCTCTGGTTGGAATCGGAAAGGCCGATGGAAGTTCAGGTGGTACCGTCCCCGCATATTACAACACGCCTGAGATTGAGACTACGTCGCCAGTGAGCATGTCGACAAGGTTGTGCGCCGTGTGCAATGCCATCTTCACCGGGCTTCTGGTTAACACAATGAGAATGCCTCATCATCGGTCTGTTGCCAGTCTCAGGCGATCCGTTGAGGAAGGATGCTATATCTGCATTTTTTTTGTTGCTGCCATGCCTCAATACAACATCTTCAATGCTAATGGTGCATTCTCGTGGGGTTTAAATATGGTCCCGGAAGGAAGACGTTGGAACTTCGGTCCCTATACAAGTTATGGACAGCTCGCCATCGAGTCCAACTCTCATACTTTTTTATTCAGTCTCTTGGATACAGCAGCTAAGTCTACGGCACATTCTGACAAAACCAAAACCAGGGTGGGGACCGTGCATGTGATAACCCTTCGCAAATATAGGTCCGAATGCGCCGATTAATACTGTTAATCCTGGTGCCAGCCTTACTGATCAAGCAGTCATGGAAACTGCAAGATCCTGGCTAGAAAACTGTCGCAAAAACCACGCATTGTGTCAACCAGTTGATCCTGCCTTCAACCCTACAAGACTCATCTACATCCACAACGCGTCCTCGGTACAGCTCATTGAAACTAAGGAAGAGGCAAACAGCCAGCATTACGTTGCTTTCTCACATTGTTGGGGGGAGTCCGAGACTCTCAAACTACTCCAAAACGACCTGGACAAAGGAACGAAAGGCAACATCGAAGAACTACGTTCGCTCATCCAAGTTCAACGTTTACCGACCAGTTATTGGGAGGCAATCTCTGTCAGCCTAGCCCTTGGATTTCGGCACATTTGGATTGATTCACTGTGCATCATACAAAACAGCGATGATGATTGGACCAAAGAGTCCGCCATGATGAAGGACGTCTATGCCAGCAGTTCTCTCAATCTTTGCGCTTCAGCTGCGGCAGATGCTTCAGAGGCAAGCTTCCGACGCAGGGCGCTAGGCATGATTGTGCCATTGGATATCGAACCCCAGTGGACTGGCATTCTCCATGGCGTTTACAATCTGGGCAAGATTGGTCCACTTCCATCACATCTCCGTCAGATCAAAATCAAGCTTGTGAATGAAGATATGTACCAATCAGAGATACTCTAATCACCACTCAATCTACGCGCTTGGGTTATGCAGGAACGCGTTTTATCCAGACGTCATCTCCACATGACTTGCAACCAGCTCTGGTGGGATTGCCGCCATATATGTGCCAGCGAAATGTTTCCAGCAGGGGTGCCCATTGGTGAAGATAAACGTAACGGCGAACATGAAGAAGAGAGGGTTCGATACTATGCATTAAGCACTTTTGGCCCTCATTCTCCCCATCACGGAGCGGTACTGGATGGTTCTCCGGGAGGCCAAACGGAGAGTACTGGAGGCGAACTTGCCCGGCATTCACCGTTTAAAAAGCCGTCAGAAGTTGACATGGACAAGCTATGGGACAGCCTCGTCGAGCGATACTCCCGCTGCAATCTAACCTATACATCTGATAAGCTACCCGCGCTATCGGGGCTTGCACAGATCTTTAGCATCGTACGAGGCCCAGACTTTTCTCTTGACAAGAACTCTTATCTCGCTGGCATTTGGCGACCTCATTTACCATACGCTTTATGTTGGTATTCATACTACGGTATAGGCGGCAAGCTTCGCAACTACGACGGCAAGCTTCGCAACTACCGGCCCCATCCCTACCGTGCCCCCTCCTGGTCTTGGGCGTCGGTAGAGGGCTCGGTTGCCGCGGGGAAATTATCGGGTAAACCGGTCTGCTGTGTAGTGGATGTCAAGGTACTTCACGAGGACGAACGGTATAAGGCTGGTACGGTAAAGGGTGGTATCTTGAACTTGAGATCCCGTGTGATTGGACCTTTCACCTACAAACCGTCATCAACAACAGCGGACTTAACAACAAGTCCTTCCCTAGATAGCCGTGTAAGGGAGGCCATCGACGCTCTGCGGATGCCGTGGTTTATTAAGTGGGATGAACGTGATGGTGTTTCCGGAAAGGATTTCATCAGCTACCTTGATCCGCTTCCACAGACTGTGCATAAGGACGGAATCGTAAAGGGCACAGGCGCGGTGCGGAAGACGGTCCGGCTCGAGGCGTTGACTGAAGAACTGCGCATGCGAATTTTCCTTGTCCCTATTGTTTTGCACCTTAATAAAGGATGGTGGGGGGGGGGGGGGGGGGGGGTTGCCGGCTTAATTGTCTGTCATGTCGTCAACGACCCAGGACTCGAAGGTTTCGATGACGGTGCGGTGTTTCAGCGTGTAGGGTGGTTCGAGAATCTGGACATTGACGATGAGGTGCTACTTCTTGTCCCGGGGAGAACGATTGCCATCATATGAGCACATGTAGTCAGAACAAGACAGCTCTGTCTCTGCCTACGAGAAACATCTTCTGTCATCAACCGATCTGTCACCTTTACTTGCTCGAAAAAGATACCGTATGTCAACAGGAAAGAAGGAGTGGTTCCAGAATCTCAAGTGATTCACCTCGCGATCGCCTCACAGTCTCAAACTCTCAAGGGAGAATGACAGTCAGTCCACAAAGCTTGACGGCGCCCGATCTGAACTAATGCGACGATGTCCTTTAAGTTACCATTTGTCCAAGAGGGATGTCCAAAGAATAAGGGCTCTACTGGGGGCGCACTAGTCCTTTTGTTCGGGGCGCACTAATACCTCTGGGGGTTAGGGTTCTGTGGGGTCATAATCTGGGTCATGTAATTCGGTGATGCAGTCCATAGTGTTGATAGTCGTAAAAATATAGGTCGTGCCCGCCAGCCGCCCAGCCCAGCCGCCCAGCCCAGCCCAGCCGCTCAGACCCAGCCGTACGTACCAGATATATGAATGTGAACTTGGTGATTTTTTCCCCTTTAACTACCTCTATCACTAAACATTAACGAAATTAATCGCCAACAAAATCAATCGAACTAGAAAGACCGCGCGCACAATCAATACTATGAGCTAGCCATCTACAGCGATCGAAATCTCGTCTAATAAGTTAAGCGATAGTGATAACAATAACGACGACTTCCCTGACCTTTAAAATCTCCCTCCTAGGCCTACACGCCCTCGCCCACCCCCCAATAAACCGTTTAAATCTCCCCAACCTTCTCAACCTCCCTAACCTTCTAAGCTATATTATCCCCGACTTGGCGATAATAATAGGTATTACGAGGAGTTGGAAGAATTTATTTATATTCTCGATAACCCTCCTAGCGGCCTTACAAATAGTTGCTAGACTATTTAACAGTATTAAGATAAAGTTAACGAATTTATAAATTTCTATAGTTAGGCGGTTATTTGAGAGAACGGGAAGAATAAAGTCGATAGTGAATCTATTCGATACGAACTCTTTTGTAATCGATATAGTAAGTTTCGTCCTTCTAGATTAATTAGTCTACGTAAGATAGCTTCCCGGAAATATAGTTGCAAATAGCGTGCTTATACTAAAAAGAATAACGAATATAGCTAGGTATTTCGATTAAATAGGAAACAATAGTACCAAATTCATAATTACCCTCCCTCTAATCCAATTGCTTATCCCTAGCTGTCAAGAGATATTCCAGGCGGTGCCTGGATGTCTCCACCCTGTCGTGATATGTATTGAGTTAGGTATAGGCATACTCATCTGAATATATCACAGTATATAATAGTATTTACCCCGTCGGTCTCTATTAAAACTAATAGATTAATCAATTATTACTTTACAACCTATTATTTATTTTACTTACGCTCTCTAAAATCGTATATAAGGTTCTAAGTTAAGGCTTTCAATAATTATTATCTTCGCTTTCTTTAATAAGACTATCGCCAATCGTTACATACTATTATTCTATTTAGTAACTAATTGCTTACTTTCTTATTCTTGCAAGGGCACAATATGGGTAAGTTGAAGGCAAAGCTAAGATTCCATTTATAACAGAAGATTTTAGATAGGAAAAAGAAAAGAGGAAGAGAATTAGGTATAAACGTGCAGACCCAAATAAATACTCTGGTCGTACAAGCGATAGCGAGACCTATATGCGGGTCACCGATAGCTAATCGCTTTACTCGTATCCCCTTTACTTATAGGATAAACCCTATACGTATTAGGATCTACCCTATAACTAATTATAATGTAGTTAATTAAATAATTTATATCTCTTAGACCGTACTATACTTAGAATCCTCTATATACTTTATTCTAATACTTTTATAAATTATATCCGTATATAGTACTTAGACCTAGTCTATTAGCGCCGTTATATTACCCTCCCCTACGTAGAAGATTTGTTTGCGAATTTTACTAGATAATTATATAATACTAATATATAAAACTGTATTTATTTCTTCTATATAATACGCTATAAACGCTTTAATCTTTCCGCTTTGGGGTACTTATCGTCGTTGTACTACTTTGTATCTTTATTAAGCTAATTTATTAGTTGTTAGAGTAGACCTAAGGCGTTCGGGTTGGCTTCATAAAAGTTCTAAAGTACTTTCGGTGCGTATTTGAAATTAGAGGCGGGATATTATTTTAAATTAAGGTCCTAACCTTTTTAATCTATTCAATAGAAGAGTTTCCCGTTAATTACTTTAGAAATTATAATTTTATTAACTTCTTATTCGGGATTACTATTTTTATTTATATTAACCAGTCCGGGGTATTCGAACGTTTATCCCAGGAGTAGGTCGTTATTATATTTCCGTAAATAGTTTACGTAGAAGATGTCGGTACCTTTCTAATTTTTTAGTAATTTGAAGTAGTAAAAGTACCCTATTTTTTCAATAATTTTATAATAATTTCGAGTGTTAGGGAAATTGAGCTTATTATCAAGTCGAATAATCGTAAATTAAAGCCTCTTAATAATAATAATCTTATTTCTTAATTCGAAATTAGGTTCCCTTCTCTTTTTATTAATTTATATTGTTTATTACTCTTATACCTTTAATATAATCTTTTTAATGTATTTAATATATTTTTAAATATATTATATATAATCTTGCGTTTATTCCCGGGTCAATTGCTCTATCCGCGGTATATTAGGGTTTTGGGTATAAGTATCTTAATTGAAAAGTATTTTTATTGGGTGTTCAAATATAGTTTTATAGGGAAATAAGCTTATATTATTTCAAAGAAAGTCATTCTATATTATATTTAGGGTTAGAATAATTTTAGATTAGTTATTTTAATAATAATTAACGAATAGCCGGAGGTATTAATTAATATAAATATTTATAATTTCCGCCTAGCCCGCCGTTTAATTGTATCTTATAGTAGCTAGCTTCTACTTCATTTTCGTTAATTTCAATATTTCGTTTATAAACGTAAATATAAATTATGGTTCTCTATCCTAAATTACTTCTTTTAATATATTATTAATATAGTAAAGTCCTTTATAATATATCCGAGCGGTATTATAAGCCGTAGCGTTTTTTGTATAAGGAGTAACTTAAAATAACTTTAATAGGCGGTCAATTATTATTAATACGTTATCGAAATTGTATTTATCCCTTATTATTTTCTTAAAGTCTATAATAATAGACGTTTACTTCCGGATTGGCAGGGGAATTGGGTAAAGTAAACCCGGTATTTTATTTTTAGGGACCTTACTAACCTTATATATTATATAGTTCTTAACGAAACGGTCGATATTTTTAGTTATACGTAGCTATTAGTATTATATTTTAAGAATCGCTCGGGTCTTATTTTTCCTCAGGTAGGCTATAGTTAACGTCGAATAAGTTTTATTAATAATACGGGTAAATAAGATATTTAATTTAAGGACGATTAGGCAGTTTTATTATATTAAGAGTCCGTTAATTAGTATTACGAAGTTAGGGTTTGAATTATAAGTACGAATATAAAAGATTTTTAAAAATTCGTTTTTATAATTGGCCTTTACAAGAACGTCTATTAATTTATATCCTTCTAATTTAAATGAGCTTAGTTTATCTATATTTAGGGCTATGATTGGGATTGATCCTTCTAGCAGGCCGGAAGCGGTCGTAATAGAAGCGATAATAGAGATTTTAACTCCGTTTTCTTCTATTAATTTAAATATCTAGAGCGTACAATATACGTCCTTTTTATCTTTTTAAGTTTTGAAATCGTTAAATTTTTAAGAGAGTACGTCCGTTACTACGTTTTTTATATTAGGCCGATACGTAATTTCGAAGTAGTATTAGGATAGAAACTCTACTTACCCAGTTTATTAAAAATTAAGGAGGCGTTTAGTATTAAAATATTCGAGTATTTAATAATTAGTAATAATTATAAACGGTTTATTTTATTAGAGGCCGACGAATCCGGATCGCTACGTTTAAAGGGTTTTAATAACGGCGAGTAATTCTTTATTATAAATGGGTAATTATATTCGGTATTTTATATAATTTTTAAAATAAATGCTATTAGGTACCATTTTCCAATATCTTCCTATAATTAAAATAATACTCCTACCAATATTCTATTATTAATATTTATTTCTACTTTCATTTCAGTATTATAACAGAAACACTTTAATAGCAGGGTTTCTACGAATAGTTTTTTAAATTCTTCGAAAATAGTTTAGTATTTATCTATTTGTATAAATACTTTTCCCTTTTATATTAAATTCGTGAGGGGGCGTATTACGCGGCCGTAATCTTTAATAATTTTTTAATAAAAATTGTAAAATCCTAAAAAAAGATTAGACTCCTATTAAATTAGAAGGGACGGCTTATTCTTTAATAACTTTTATTTTCTCTAAGTCGACGGAAATACTATTTCGCCTTACTCTAAATTCTAGGATTTTAATCTTCGTAATATAGAATTCGTATTTTTTAAAATTGGTTCAGAAGTTAATATTTTTTAATTAGCGAAGGATTTTCTGAATATAAAATTAGTAATTTTTTAAAGTATTAGAATAAATAAGAATATTATCGATATAAGTTATATAAAAATCGCTTAAATATTTACTTAGGACCGAATTAATAAAATTCTAAAAATTAGCCAGGCGATTAATGAAATTAAATAGTAATATTTTATATTTAAAAGTCATTATATTAGTACAGAGTATAATTAACTTTTCGTTTTCCAGTTTTATACAAATACAGTAAAATCTTTATTATATATTAATTTTTGTAAATTATTATACATTAATTATTTTAATAAAGGGTTTTTTGATTAATAGTAATAAGTAGCGGTTTTTACGGGTAATGGTATTAAACTTTTAGTAATTTATATAGAAATAAAAGTTACTATTTATTTGTTTAATAAATAAAACGGGTACCGCCTAAGGGGACGAATTCGCTTCAATAAATCCCTTTAATAAGTTTTTTAAAATATATTTCTGTATTACCTCTAATTTATTAAGGGATATTTT